TATTACGCATGGTCATGGTGTCAAAAATGGGCCGTGGGCCAAGAGGGTTTATTTTTTGTCAAAAGATGTAGAATTAAATTTATAATCGATTTTTGATTGTTACCATCTCCATAACTTACGCACTTTTTATTAAATAGACAAAAATGTTCGAAAAATTCATTATGCAAATTAGAAAAAAAATAGACTAATCATGTTACGGGAAACCTGGTGGTTGTGTGTTCAATTCCCACACGAACCAATTTCCACGATTTTTTTTTTTTTTTTTTTTTTTTTTTTTTTTAAGGAAGTTTAGTTGATGGTGGAGAATAGCAAAACCTGGTGGTTGTGTGTTCGATTCCCACACGAACCAATTTTTTATTTTTTTTTTAAATTTTTTTTGCCCGACGAATAGTAAACATTTGAAATTTACAACCTCAAACCAACGTCGGCCCAACTGTTGTCACCAACCTCCACTAACATTAACCGACGTCGGGCCAACAAAGTACCGTGACGTTGGGACAACGTCTATAATCACATCCTAATATTTATTACAACCTCTTACGAACGTCGGACCAACAGTTGTAACCAACCTCCATTTCAAACCTTTACCGACGTCGGGCCAATAGCGTACTGTGACGTTGCGACCACGTCTATAATTACATCTAATATTTACAACCTCTAACCAACGTCGGCCAAACGATTGTAGCTATAACCTCCATAATATATATATAATTATAGATGTTGTCGCAACGTCAAAGTACCTTGTTGGCCCAACATCGGTAAACGTTTGAAATAGATGTTGGGTACAACCGTTGGGCCGACGTTTCTTAGAGGTTGTAAATATTGTGTATGATTATAGACGTTGTTGCAACATCACAGTACTCTGTTGGCCCGACGTCGGTAAACGTTTGAAATTTAACAACTTCTAACCAACGTCGGCCCAACTGTGTTGTCACCAACCTCCACTAACATTTACCGACGTCGGGCCAACAAAGTACAGTACCGGACTTCGCAAGGCATCTTTACTATCTCCATAACTTACGCACTTTTTTTTAAATAGACAAAAATGTTTGAAAAATTCATTATGCAAATTAGAAAAAAA